TCAAGAAAAAGAAAAGCCTGCTAAGTCAAAAAAAAAAAAAAAAAAAAACATGAAAACGTGTGACTTAGGCAAAATTAAGGCATCCCGCTGGACTATCAATCCAAAAAATTAGTTCAGGCAAAAATTAGGGAAAATAAAAATTGCAAAGAAAGGACTACAAAGAAAAGTCCTCAGCAAAGAACAAATTGGTGACTACAAACACGAAGACATGAGGGTGGTTTCTACTCCAAAAACCTCGTAGTTTCCTTAACTGTCACAAAATCCTTTTGAGAGATGAACGCTCATGTTGAATTAACTGAACATAGGATTGGAGAACATCATGAAGTGGGTGGGCACCAAATATTTTGAGCCTTAAAATCTTTTTTCTAAAAACCATGAACCAGACCACGTTACAACCTTCAAAAGTCCTAATTGAAGTAAGGTTATTTTGAAAGCATACTTCAATGAGATAGTGTTCCTGACTCCCATGAATGTTCTAAATAGTTATGTTGGTATCATATGTTTTTCCTATACAAAAATAAATGGTGCTTTAACTCGCAAAATTTGTGCGATATCTTTCAAAATCTTCAAGACTTACATAATTGTTGCATTAGAATTTTTATTCTCATTGTAAACTTTTTCTAACTGCAAAACATTTGTTTGATATCAAGGAAGCTCACATAAGCACCAGTGATGAGTTTATTCTTTTAAGGCCTGAAACTATGTTGAGTAATTGGCGGATCACGTCAAGAAAAATCATATCCAGGGGCATGTCACCTAAAGACCTTGAACACGGACATGTTGCTTCTCCCAGTTAATGCTTTCCCAACTTGTTTACTCTTTTGGTGCAAAAATTTGAAGACTTTGTTGTGCCAACTACAGTCAATCCGGGGCAATCACGTAGATATTTGATGAATCTCTCTAAGAGTTTAAAGACACCAGGGCATGGTGGATGCCAGGTCTTTTGTAAAATCCTCTCGAGATGATTTCTCCTCATCAGCCATATAGCTTGGGGCATTTTAAGTGAAGTTATTCGCAAGAATTGTCGTGCAACATGCAGCTTATCAGCAGTAAACTTGGGGCATCCAAAATTAATCTCAGGGGCAATCCAGATTTATCAAGATATGTTTTTCATACATTATCAGAGGGTGGTGTTCCCAGTATCTCCAGCTAAGCAAGACTTCTTTCCAGCTGAAACTTTGTTTGTGTTGTTATCCTTTCAATGGATTGTTTGCAATAGAAGACTAGACTTTGGGTTTTCTACCTGAAAATACTTTCCTCTCCAGAGAGATTTAAGCCTTGTAAAAGGACTTTGCTCCAATGATGGCTTTTGTTTTCTATCTCCAGTAATGTTACCATCCTGTTGAGATTAGCCGAGTGTCGAGTTGTACTGTGATGTCTTATCATTTTCTGTCCATCTCCCCTGTCTATTTTGTCAGCATATACATGACATTCATTTATTCATTCACACTTGCATCATGCATGCACAATTGTATTTGTTGATGTCTTTGAGTACGTATACCTTGGTTATGTCTATTCAAATAGCATATTTGATCTTTCCAAATAGAGTGTCAACTTAAGCAGAAAGTGCGCCTCTTTTTCTAATTCCCCACTGAGTTAACTCTCGTGGAAGAATCTTGCTTTAGCTTTCCTTTTCCATCTCTGGATAGGATAAATCCCCATTTGAGTTGTTTCCTCATTGGGTGGAGTCTTGTTTGACTATTTTCTCTCCAGTTTATTCCTGGATTGAGCTTTGTCTCTTGTGAACGATACCCTGTGGATCTCTCTAGGCTGTGAAACCTAGATGGAGAGTGCATTTATTTTGCAATGTAAATACTTGGTCTCCTCAAGAAGGATTTATTCATGGTTCCCCATTGAAGATGAGCTTTATTCCCCAGCAGTGTTATCACAACCTTCTTCTGGAATATCAACATGACAACAAGCGACTGACTCTTTATTTGAGTAGTCTGATTATTTCTGATTTCTCTACGACAAATGGCGGTCTCTTCATGAGCAGTTTGTCCATCCTCGATGAAATTATTGATTCTCACCTCCAGCAATATCTTCACGATATTTTATGGGTATCTTTTTGGGAAACAGCAAGCGGCAGTCTCTTCATGAGGCAACTTGTGTGTTATGGATACTCTTGACAAACAGCAAGCGGCGGTCTCTTCATGAGCAACTTGTGTGTTATTGGTAATTTTGAAAAGAAAACAACAAGCGGCGGTCTCTTCATGAGCAACTTGTGTGTTATTGGTAATTTTGAAAAGAAAACAGCAAGCGGCAGTCTCCTCATGGACAACTTGTATATTATCAACACTTCTCAAAAAACAGCAAGCGGCAGTCTCTTCATGGACAACTTGTATGTTATCAACACTTTCTCAAAAAACAGCAAGCGGCAGTCTCTTCATGGACAACTTGTATGTTATCAACACTTTTTGAAAACGGCAAGTGGCGGTCTCTTCATGAGCAGCTTGTACGAAAAATGGCAAGTGGCAGCTTCTTCATGAGCAGCTTGTACGTTAGTTTTTTTTGGAAGACAGCAAGTGGCAGCTTATCTATTTGAGCAACTTGTGTGTTTTGTTCCCCTGAAAACGACAAGTGGCAGCTTCTTTATGAGCAGCTTGTGGGTTTTTGGTAACAAGTGGCAGCTTCTTCATGAGCAGCTTGTGTGCTTTGATATTCTTTGAAGACAACAAGTGGCAGCTTCTTTATGAGCAGCTTGTGGGTTTTTGGCAACAAGTGGCAGACTCTTCATGAGCAGCTTGTGTGCTTTAATATTCTTTGAAGACAGCAAGTGGCAGTCTCTTCATGAGCAGCTTGTATGTTATTGACACCTTTGAAAGGAAGCAAGTGGCGGCCTCTTTATTTGAGTAGCTTGTGTATCCCCAACAATAATGTCTACTCAGCAAATGGCATCCCTTTCGGAAAAGTCCCGTGGGGAAGTTTGTTTATTTTATCCTTTTCAAGCGATATCTTGGTTAGAGAAGAAATGTGTTACCGTTCTTGGTAAAATTCAGAAATCAGAGATGTGTATCTCCAGCCACAGTGTTGATGTCAATCATTTTGTTTTCCAGCCACAGTGCTGATGAAAATCATTTCTTTTTCCAGTCTTCGTACTGATGTAAATCATTTCTTTTCCAGTCTCAACACTGATGTAAATCATTCAAGAGTCTCTCATTTGAAGTCTATGACTCTGTTTCCCCAGTGGAGTTACAACCTCTTCCTTTGTGGGATTACTGTATAATGTGTTTGGTTTCTCCAGCATAGTCTGTCTCATATGACGTCATTCCCCATAAAATTCAGAGCATTACATTCATATCATATCATGAACATAATCAAGGTAACTTAAGGCCAAAAATTGTGTATTCTATATTTAAGTCCCTTCAATCTCGTCGAAATGAAAATCCCAATCTTCATATCTCCAGATAGAAGAAACTTAAATAGGGGCAGCTGTTGTACCCCAATTTTTGACCTAAGATCCTATTTTTATTTTTGCATTTTTTAAGATAAGTCAAGGTCACGAAATACGGTTGGTTTTAACCTCTCACCTTCGAGCTTCGACTATGCGAAGATTGTCAAGTGTTTTGAACATTTTTAGCCTATGTATCACTAATTTCTAATCCATACAAAGGTGTATGTTCATGTCTTCTTTTGCTTCATGTGCAGAGACAGGTCTGAATCAAAAGCAACAGGTGTCGCGCCTCAATTAAGGTTTTGAGTCTCCCAAGCCAGAAGTACGGTTGATTGTGGATTCTCGAAGACTGATTCATCAAGGCACACCGTTGCACCCTTAATTTCGCCCCTAATTTTTTCAGTCGCACATTCATACCATATTTTGTCATTTGGTCACAATCATTAGTAAATATCTTCATTCATCATATTTTGCATCATTAGTCGTATTTAAGTTGACCAGAAAAGTCAGTTTAAATCAAAGTTTGCATCGTCTTTTAGTTAAAAGAATACCTGACATTTCACTTCATGCATTTTTATCTCTTTACTCGTTTCTTGCATTGCTCCAAGTTGTTTATATGTCGATAATAAAAATATTTTGGTTTTATAGATAAACTGTTAAAAGAGATTCAACAATGTGCGAAAAATTAGCAAGAAAAATATTTCAAGTTTTCACCTTTTACCGATCATTTTATGAATCTGCATCTCGCATAGATTATGACGGTATGCTCGCTTTATTTTTTCGATACAGTTTGAAGTCTCGTTTTTAACCGTAAAATGTCTGTTTAGCCTGGTATTTTCATTATCATTTTATTCCTATTTTTACTTTTTTGAATATTTTTTTCTTTAATCTTTGCGACAGGTAGTTTATTTTAATGTGTTCATTTTATTTTTTCGGTTAGATTTTCGTCTGCTTTTTTTATCGTTTTCTGTTATTTTGGGTCTTTATCTTTTATTCAGAAAAATTTCAAAAAAATTATTTTAAATTGATTTATTTTTTTATAGTTTCAGGATTTTATTTTATTTTGGTCATTCATGGACTTTTTGGTCACAAAAAATATTAATTAGGCTTCACTTAATTCTCATTGGTCGATAGCATGGTTTGCAGATTGATAGAGATTGAATTTATATTGAACGGCTTGGATTTATCTTGAAATCATAATATTCCTCTTCATTTTCTCTATTTAAAGCATCTTTATCACTTTGTACAAAGGAGGAGACACAAACCAAAAAAAGCAATTCACAGTATATATTTTTTTCATCCCTCTATTCCTCTCTCCTCACGCCTAATCCTTCCACCTCTTCTCTCTTTCATTTACTTCCTCTCTCTACCATTCTATTTTCTCTTCTCTCATTCTAACAACACCACAAAAACAAAAACCACAACACCACTTTGAAACTCTTTGACTTCAAACAACACTTGTTCATTTTCTCACTACTTTATGTAATGGTAACTCTTGTAAACTAAGAGTGTCATAATTTGTGCAAGAAATTTTGATTCATATATATTATAGTCAAGAGTTTTGAAGTAGAACATTAATTTGTGTTGTGGTTATAATTATTATAAGATGACTATGGCAAAGGGTGGCAACAATAATCATCAACAACAATCATTTGAAGTTTCTGTTGATGCTGCTGATTCCAAGTTCTTTGATGATGATGGTCATTCAAAATGATCAGGAAACAAATGGACAGCAAGTGCACATAAAATAACAGCGGTTATCGGCTCTGGAGTGCTGTCATTGGCATGGACTATAGCGCAACTTGGGTGGATTGCTGGCCTGTCGATGATGCTTCTATTCTCATTTGTTACTTACTACACCAAACATCACCAATTTCCTCACACAAACCATCACCGAACCATCACCACCATCACCAAACCGTGATTCCCTCCGCCTCTGCTCAACCGTCATTTCCAATTTCCACTCTCTCTTTCTCTCCCTCAACAGATAACGTTAACAACACACACACAAACTCATCCCTCACTCCAAAATAGTCACAACCTGCAAAATTTCTACACAAACTATAACCATATTCAAAATTTCAAACCATTAAACATCAAAGTCAAAGTTGACAAACCTCAAAGTTGTTGTAGCAACATATCGATTGGTACAAAGTTGTTGTGTTCTTTTTTTCAGGATCAAAGGGAAAGCAGAAGAAGAAGATCTCGATGTCCACCATCTCACGTTCCACCGACGATGGACTGCCAACATCACACCTCAATCACCGGTACAAACTCCCGACGCAAACCAACAACTCCTTGCAGATCCGGACCCCTCTGATTCCGCTACACACAGTACCACCGTCGATTCACCACCGCGTGGACGACCCTATTTCGACGAACCCGCATCACCGCCATGCTCTATTGTTGGTACCCATCTTTTCTAAGATTTTGCTGTTATTTTGTTTGGATCTGAAGGAAAGATTGTTTGTTGTTTGACCAGATTGATATGCTTATGTTTAAATATGCAATTGAGTGAGAAGAATAGAGTGAGTTTTTGTTTATTTTATTTTATTTTATTTCTCTTTTATATAATTTCCTGGTGCATCATTTGCTAATCTTTCTCCTTTTTTTTTTAAAAAGTTTGAAAAAGTCAAATATACATTTTTGTTAGTTTAATTTTTAATATAAAACAAAAGATATCAGGTTATAAATAAGGGGTGGTTCCACATCCCACGTGCCTCCACCCTATTTTTATTTTATTTTATTTTCAAATTTCTATTTTTTTTGTTACTACTCTTTTATGTTATGTTATCATTTATCCTTTTTTATATATAAGATTTATTATCTTTGTCTAAATGCCTCATACTAATAATTAACTCTTTTTTTTTATTTAATATTTTCCATGTAACTAACCAGCTTAATTTCTTATGATTTAATTTTGTTTTAGTTTTTTTTTTATGATATTTATTATTATTATTATTAAACTATACAAAAATACAAAAAGTATTAGAATATGTTTATATTTAGTTTTTTTCTTCGCCTCATAAAAAATACCATAAAAATACATTAGTTTAATTTTGTCTTTCATTTATTTTTATTGTTAATTATTTAATTGTTTAAATTGTTATTTTCCATTTTCGATCATTTAGTCTTTATATTTTGTTTGTCTAACTCCAAGGAAAAGATTTAAATTTTGTTGACTTCACGTCATCAAACCCATCTCATCCAATCGTGCGAATACCCTCATTCATCTTTTGTTTGTTTACTATTTTGCTAAACTCAAGATAATTTTCCCAAAAGGCTCCATTTTCAAACTCACACATTTAAGTCAAAAACTTCGACATTAGCTCGTCGTATCTTCGAAATCTCTCCAACACCTATTTTTAGCCAAACGAATCATTTTAATCAAACAAACAATTTTAAACCAAAAAAAAAACAGATATTTCAAAAGGTTCCTGCGGAGTACCGCAAATGCATTGGGTGCTAATACCTTCCCATTGCATAACCAACCCCCGAACTCTCGATCTCTTTCAAAAAAACGCATTGTATTTTTATTACTTTTAAGTATTATTTTACATTGCATATTTTAGGGTTTTATTTCGCTCTTTTCCCTTTTCCCTTGGAAATAATAAAGCGCGGTGGCGACTCTTGCTTTGGCGAGTCAAGTTAATTAATAGCTTGATCTCCGATTTTCACCGCTACAGAATTGGCGACTCTGCTGGGGAAAGATTGACCTCTTGCTGGTCCATCCCTAAGTGGGTTAAGCCTAATTTGTTTTATCTGTTTTATCATTATTTGATTGTTTGATTATATGTATATATTATGATTATTTGGGTGTTGATAATATTTACAAAGGACAAGTCCTATACCCGGACTAAGTTACACTTAGGAATAGGACGGGCGGTATAGTCATGTTAACTTTGAGGGAGTAATCCCGAAGAAGGAGGCTTGAGATCCCCCACTCAGTGGAAGGCCCTTTTGAATGTAATATTTGTTTACCGAGTAATCGGGAAGACATTATTATTTTCGACCTGGGAGCCAGAGAAGCTGGGAACCGTAGAACCCTAACCCATCTTGGCCTTTTAGGTGTAGCACGAAGATTATAACGGAGTAATCCGGAAGTAATTGTTACGCGATGCTACGCTCGGATGAGTTTCTCTTGAGAATATTGCTGATTATTGAGTAATCAAGACATTGGTAATATCCGAAGGAGGAATGTAGACTCCGGGAACTCTTAGAACCTTGTTCTACAGGTGTGATTAAACCGTTAGTACATACCTTGGGGGTGTTCCTTACCTTGACTCCATGCTCGTGACGTTGAACCTTTCGACTTTATTTGTGACCTTGCTTGTGGTTGTTGCATAGCCATGCATTCATGCATCCATAAAACCCTTTTCACTTGACTTTGAAGGAATTTGGAGGTCTTTCTTTGTAAACATCACAAGTTTCGTCAAGCTCAATGGATCTTGGGTGTTGATAGGGCGAAAACCCTAATCCACCAAAATGGATGATTGATCTTGATGATAACTTGATCAACGCTTCGAGCCAATTTAAAATTCATCTTCTATCTTCATACTTTGATGTTTACAACTTAATATCTTGAGTTCCTTGAAAATCAAATAAAAACTCTCTTTTGCATATCATACATCATTCTACATTTTTTGTTTCACTTTCAAAGGTCTTTTTCCGAGTCTTATTTTTCCTTTGGTCTCACCAGTACAACACTCGCGCTAAGAGAACAATGGAGAATATCAAGCAAGAGGTTTTTGAACTTCGTAGAGAGATGACTAATTTGAAAGCTAGTGTGAAGCACTTAACTGGTTTGGTCGAAATTTTGGTTGCCGCCCAAGTCAATCCTTCTAGGAGGGAGGAAGCGATGATAAAAGTATTCACTAAAACTCTAAAATCATTCTCTCATGAGAAGGTGTTGGTTAATGCACCTAATGACTTTCCCGACAAGGTGAATGTGGGAGTGCGTCTAGAAGAAGATGTTGGGAAGGGATGTTCATATGAAGATGGTAGCTCAACTAATGGTGTGAAGAGGTTTGATAATAACTTTTCCAAGAAGAGAACCAGAGGAAGAAATAATCATCGTCAGAATCATCATGTTCCTCCTATTCATCAACAGAATCAGCAAGTTCCTAATCAGAGGAAAACCCAGTTTGATCCAATTCCAATTACCTATACAGAGTTGTTCCCTATCCTGATGCAGAGGAATTTGGTTCAGACCCGACCTCCACCGAAGGTTCCTGAGAAGATACATTGGTACTACAAAGCTGATTTGGCTTGTACTTTTCATCAAGGTGCTCCTGGGCATGACTTGGAGGGTTGTTTTGCTTTGAAGATTGAGGTTCAGAAGTTGGTCAGAAGTGGTATCTTGTCATTCAAGGACGTTGGTTTTGAAGTTCAAATCAAGCATGCGCCGAAGAGTAAACACGATTGATGGTGACTTTGATTTTTGAAGGATGTTTTCGGTAATTCAAGTCCAGATGGAAAGCCTTCGCAGATCATTAACTTATTTCTGCTTTTTGTAATTTTTCTTGTTTATCAAAACATTGTTTGCATGTAAGAACTTGTTTGCATCTGTATGATTATCTTAATACAATGAGTATGTTTGTCTTGAAGAAATTCATTCGTTTCACTCATATTTGTTTTCAAATTTTAAATTTCTTTTGGCATTATGATACCAACTTGTTGCCCATTCTCTTGCCTAGGCAGAGATTGAAGGGAGGATGATGATCTAAAGAACACAAAATCTCTGGTTGTTTGCTTTTGGATAAAATCTTGCGGATGATGTACAAGCATTGTTTCAAATCCCTAAACACCGGAGATATAAGGAAGATAATCCATTGCTAACCCCTTTTGAGCCTTTGAAGCAGAAGTTTCTTTTTATACGAAAAAACCTTGAATTTTAACCTAGGGCAGGGTAGTTTTTAGTTAATCTGACTGAGTGTTCGAAATTCATAAGGAAGATGTTTTTTGAAGAGAAACTACGAGGGCTAGCTTTCATGTATAATGAAGCCAGAAGATGTGGAATCATAATGTTATCCCTCATTCATCAAGAAACGAGGCAATCACAATCCTCTCAACAAGCAAAGACAAGCTAATGTCACACATTTTGTTCAAAAAGTCAAAAATCAAGAAAAAGAAAAGCCTGCTAAGTCAAAAAAAAAAAAAAAAAAAAAACATGAAAACGTGTGACTTAGGCAAAATTAAGGCATCCCGCTGGACTATCAATCCAAAAAATTAGTTCAGGCAAAAATTAGGGAAAATAAAAATTGCAAAGAAAGGACTACAAAGAAAAGTCCTCAGCAAAGAACAAATTGGTGACTACAAACACGAAGACATGAGGGTGGTTTCTACTCCAAAAACCTCGTAGTTTCCTTAACTGTCACAAAATCCTTTTGAGAGATGAACGCTCATGTTGAATTAACTGAACATAGGATTGGAGAACATCATGAAGTGGGTGGGCACCAAATATTTTGAGCCTTAAAATCTTTTTTCTAAAAACCATGAACCAGACCACGTTACAACCTTCAAAAGTCCTAATTGAAGTAAGGTTATTTTGAAAGCATACTTCAATGAGATAGTGTTCCTGACTCCCATGAATGTTCTAAATAGTTATGTTGGTATCATATGTTTTTCCTATACAAAAATAAATGGTGCTTTAACTCGCAAAATTTGTGCGATATCTTTCAAAATCTTCAAGACTTACATAATTGTTGCATTAGAATTTTTATTCTCATTGTAAACTTTTTCTAACTGCAAAACATTTGTTTGATATCAAGGAAGCTCACATAAGCACCAGTGATGAGTTTATTCTTTTAAGGCCTGAAACTATGTTGAGTAATTGGCGGATCACGTCAAGAAAAATCATATCCAGGGGCATGTCACCTAAAGACCTTGAACACGGACATGTTGCTTCTCCCAGTTAATGCTTTCCCAACTTGTTTACTCTTTTGGTGCAAAAATTTGAAGACTTTGTTGTGCCAACTACAGTCAATCCGGGGCAATCACGTAGATATTTGATGAATCTCTCTAAGAGTTTAAAGACACCAGGGCATGGTGGATGCCAGGTCTTTTGTAAAATCCTCTCGAGATGATTTCTCCTCATCAGCCATATAGCTTGGGGCATTTTAAGTGAAGTTATTCGCAAGAATTGTCGTGCAACATGCAGCTTATCAGCAGTAAACTTGGGGCATCCAAAATTAATCTCAGGGGCAATCCAGATTTATCAAGATATGTTTTTCATACATTATCAGAGGGTGGTGTTCCCAGTATCTCCAGCTAAGCAAGACTTCTTTCCAGCTGAAACTTTGTTTGTGTTGTTATCCTTTCAATGGATTGTTTGCAATAGAAGACTAGACTTTGGGTTTTCTACCTGAAAATACTTTCCTCTCCAGAGAGATTTAAGCCTTGTAAAAGGACTTTGCTCCAATGATGG